GTGTGTGTGTGTGTGTGTGTGTGTGTGTGTGTGTGTGTGTGTGTGTGTGTGTGTGTGTGTGTGTGTGTGTGTGTGTGTGTGTGTGGTTTCTCTCTCTCTCTCTCTCTCTCTCTCTCTCCTAGCATAACTGTGTTGTTGGTTTGATGGCAGCCGCGGCCCTATAGCATCCGGCGATCAGCATTGAAAGCACGAGCGTCGAAAAGAATCAAAGTGATGGCCCAGCCGAAACACATTACCAAAAAATACGATCCAGCGTGAGTATTGGATTAAATAAAGATCTCTGACGGTCTTCCGATTCATATTCAGACCCGACAACACCATGGCGCTCACCCTCCTCTACTCGTAGAAAAGCACCGCCACTGTTCCCGCGAATCCATCCGAAAACTCTCGCAGCCAAAACCACGAAACGCATCAACGACTTGGCCCTTCCCACAAAGAGGTGGTGATCTTCCAACTCCCCCTCCTCTCCTCTCCCGGGATTAACGAGAATTAACGAATCGTGTTGTGTTAATCCGTTTTTTCCAGAACACTGTTGGCGAACATGAAGTTTCCGACAAGCGCCAACATAGCCGACACACTTTTGAAAGTACAAAAATCACGTTACCGGAGGTATCGATTCTTCTGCAACGCCAGGCAGCAGCGAGAGATGAAGAGGAAGTGAGTGATGCCTTCGGAGCTTAGTGGATCGGGATCAACAGGGGGAAAACTTTAACTTTAGTCGAAGTTAATTAAGCGATTTGATTTGATAATTCGATAATAATAATAATAATAATAATAATAATGATAATGTAATTGTATTATAACCGAGGAGAAACCGAGCCGAGTGATTTTTATAACCACTGCATAAACGTTATTCGATAAGTTGTTTTAACAAGTGATCGTTTAAAGTAACTTTTTCGATCCGGTTATATCGCCCGACTCCGACGTGGAAGAGAAGCAACCGTTCCCCTTGAACCTCGAGACAAAGGAGAAGGGAGGAATATTCTCTCCTCGAATACGAAATACTAGCATAATCGGATTGTCCTTCGAACCGGTCTTTTCCGATCTCGAACCAATCTGGATACGATCACGATCGCTCACTCGAGAGGATTTGCCGAGACATTCGATCCTTCCACTTTCCATGTCGATTTTCCCATCAAACTTGACGCGCGATTCGCAGTCACCAGAGTATCCTGGATATATGTAATTATTAATAGTGCCCAAGGGTGTCCCTTCGAAATTTACTCTCTCCTCGTCACCTTGCTCCTTCGTTCTCACGCTATCCACGTCAGGGGATCGAGAAGGGGGATATAACATCGATATGATGATCGATAAATAATTCGATTCTCGCTCTATAATTTTCCCGGTTCCAGGCAAAGGATAATGGCGAAATTGCGTCGAGCGATCAAACCGGACGAGTGGGAGCACCACATGGAGGTGTTGGAGATACTGTCCGCTCCGAAAGTCCCGCCCAAGCCCAGACCCGTGCGTAAGATTCGTCAAAATTGTCCAACGAATCCGAGACCGAGCTTAGTCGGGTAGCTTAGGAGGGGAGGAGTAGATAGAGACGCGTTCCTCGTCGATAGATCGGATAACGGGGGAGAGAAAAAAAAATAAAAAAAAAAGAGAAAGAAAGCTCGGAGATCGATAGACAGAATCGCGTTGAATCGCAGATTAAGAAGAAGAAATGGAGGCCGTTTAACGTGCGGAGGTTGGAAGAGTTGGCAACGCCGCCTGCGAGAGAGATACCTTCGATCAGGGACCCGTTCAAAGTGCCGATAACCGCTCTCACCTACAAGATCAGCAAACGCCTTCTCAAGATCGCGTTCCCGAAAGCACCGGTGGAGATCATGCCACCTCGTATTCCCGGCAAGGTTTCCCCGGCCGCGCTCAAGGCCGTAGGTACCTACTTCTCCAATTTTTTCCTTCTCTCCTTCCCTCCCCCCCCCTCCCTCTCCTCTCTTCGCTTCCAACTTGCCACTCAACGCGGACGAATTTTCGACGGATCTCGCGTCGCGCGTGTTTACTTAAAACTGTTGGAGTTGGAAAATGGCCAAGTTTGGAAAATTCCCTTGTTCGAAAGTTTTCCACGGGATTTAACCTTTGCCTTTGGGTGGAGGAGATCGGTTTAATTCCCTTCTCCTCTTCCCTGTTCGGCGGGAGCCGCGAGATGGCCAAAGTGTAATTAAAACGATGGTTTCAGAAGCGATTAAACGACGCCTCACCGACCGGGTCGTTTCGCTTTCGAGCGAAGGCCCACTTTCCTCGAAAGGGCGGTGGAAAATGCGATTTCTGCAAAACAACAAAATGTAAATTTCCTTCGAGATTTTCTTTTCACGGTTAAGCGCGGCCAACCGCGGGATAAGCGGTTTGCGGCGCAAGCGTTCCCAATTATCCGGCCATTTTTCGCGTAGCGCCCTCTTACTAACTCTCGTTAGATTAATTCTCCCTCTTTCGAGGCTATTCGTCCGCGTCGAGTGGAAGCATTAGAGGAGACACACGGGATGCATGGTCTTTAATTTCGCAGCCTCCCCAAGGATGATAATCCTTGCGAAACCGGTTGAACGGCCCGCCGGGATGGAGACGGACCTAAGGGAAGACGCTTTCACGGTCTCGCCGATGGCGCTAAAAGCGAGATGCTCGAGGCGATTGAAAATGTTGGCCAGGCCCAAGAGGAGGAGATGATCGCTCGCGTTTCACAGCGACCGTGTCTCCTTAATCCTCGATTGTGATTCGTAAATGCATAGATTGCCGTCTTCGTATTATAGTCCTCTATCTATTTATATACACGCGTAAAATCGTGTTCAAAATGTAATTAATTTTAATATATAATCTAATCTCTCGACGAAATTTTCAATTCTCTCTACATAAAGAAACGAAGAAAGTTCAACAATTTCTCGTCTCGGTAAAAAGAAATTTCTTCACCTAAGTTAAGTCTATCCGATTTCGAAACGAGGGAAACCGCTATTATCGACACGAACCTCGGATCTACGGATCGGCGTAGTAAAGTCAAAGTTCCGCGTAAGCATATGCCGACTCGAATTAATACTTGATCTCCGCTGTTTCGCCTAGGAATCAAGAAAACTATATATATATATATATAATCGCACTATTGCTGGAAATTCCATGGCCGACGCGCGCCGATCTATCTACCATGGATCACTTAATTCCCAAGTAACTAGTCTCTTGCTTCTCTCCCTCCTAAACTTAGTTAATAGGATTCAAGGCGAGGGAGAAGTTCAAATATCGCGATCATACGCGAGATAACGATCGTTGCGCGTGAAATAAATATGATTAATACACCACAGCCACGAAGGAAGAAAGGAAGGAAGGAAGGAAGGATGTATATAAAACTAAAAGAAAAAGAGCGACGACTAATGGATCGAAGGGACTGTATTCAATAGCCGTGTAAAAATGTCGAAGATGGTGGTGGAGAAAAAAAAGAATACAATGGAGAATTGTGAAGCGACAGTTAGTGTGTTTACACCGGATCGATGTCTCGCGGTACGGGGGCGGGGAGGGAAGAGGAGAAAGTACGGATAGTTCGATGCGTCACGTAGCCCTCTCGCTGCGAACGGACGTCCCGTGCCCGATAAAAATTCGATAGAAAAGAGTCTGAACGTGTGTGCAGTTTCTCTCCCTCCACCGATCGTTTCCACTCGTTCCAACGATTTTGTAAATAGAAGGTTGCTTTTTTTTTTTGTTCTCGTTCTCGTTTCGACGCACCACACCTCCGTCTCCTCCTGACTGGGCAAATTTGCTCGATTTTCATTGCGGGAGGGGACTCGGTCAGAAACGCAAAAAGTTATCGTCTCCTCTGTTTTCGAAAAGCGTTGCTGCCACGCTTGATAATTTCGCTCTCAATTCGAATTGAAATTGTTCTCGAAAGAACGAGAGTGAAATCGCTCGTAAAATTTGCCCCGGCTTCCGAGATAAACGAATACATCGCTTATACTTATTATTAAATACTTGTTTTATATATAAATAACAACGTCATCGGAGCAGAATTTACACGACGATTTTATCGTTGTCGATCGTCGTCCAAATCGTATTCGTTTCCGCTCGATCTCTGTCCCCTTCCATTCTCACTAGATTGGGAACACCAATCGTATAACAGTAGATATAAACACTCTAGGGGATCCCCGATTTTTCACTCCTCGAACTTTTTCATCTCGACGGGAATCATTATAGCGGGAAGAGAAATTTCTATTCCGAATTTTCGCGATTAACCGATTGGAATGTATACACGCGGAAGTAGAAGGCGGTATCGACGCTGTATATGTCGAGTAACGAGCGGGAAATGTCGAATAACAATAGGGGGGAAGGACAAATATCGCGAACGTACAATGGGCTACGCGGGACATGAATCAACCAGCCGCTGGCTCCGCGTAGCGGAAAAAAAAAAAGGAAGAAACGGATGTTAGCGTAGCCGTGGTAATTGAAGAGGTAGTTGGGCTAGAACCTTTTCGAGATACACTTTTCCCTCCTTCCTTCCCCTCACTGCCGCGTGACGAATGGAATGTAAATGTAAAAGGGTTGAGGACGAGTGAAATTCTCTTACGATTCCGTCCACGTTTGGACACTCTTCTGCCCGGTTGTCAGCTCGGACCAGTCATGCCTTTTCCCCCTCTCTTCTTCCGCCATGTCACGTGGAACTCTCTTTCTCTCTTTCACTCTTTTCACCCATCCTCCTCCCGGTCTCCTCGTTGTGTAGTGCAGCAAAATTTCAGCCGGACGTCGGAAGAAGTTAAAGGTTTTAACGGAAACGAACGTGTAATTGAAGATAAGCGAAATGTACGAAACTGAAAATAGTTATTAACTCGATATTAAACGGAGGGGAGGGAAGGGGAGAGGGGGAAAGGAATATTCCGCATTTCTGTAACAAGTTTGTATTAAAACGGAACTTTTCATCTCGGCCGGTTCGTTTCTTCAAAGGAGAGCGAAGGTATTAATAAAACGGGGATTCTAGCAATCAAGTTTCGAAAACTTCTCGATATATATATATATATATATATATGTATATATAACCGCGAATATTATAAAATCGAATATTATAATATCGAGTTAAATCGCGTAGAACGCGATGTGGTGGAACGATATCGTTATATATAAAATAATTTGAAATATTTATTCGATAATGATTAATCGGTATTGCCTTAACGTGCAAACTTTTCAAATTAAAACGCGCAGGTATACACGCACGCGAGTATAAAATATATCGTCTAATAAATTCTCTCTCTCTCTCTCTCTCTCTTCCTCTCTCCTCTCTCCTTCCCCCCCCCCGTTATTATTCCTTCTTTCCTTCTTTTGTTCTCACGCCTTTTGTTTCAAATCAAAAATTACATACGCATTCGTATCTCGCGTTAACATTCCTATGATGATAGAAAGAAAAACGAATTTCACGTCATATCGCAAATTACCTGTTTACGGCAGGCAGGCAGGCAGGCGTTTCTGCATGGTATGCCATTTTAAATCGTATCCAAGCGAAACATTCGCCGAAGTGAGGTCGAGGTTTCGGCTTTATTGGATATCGGAAAACGTCCCTTCGTCTCTCTCTCTCTCTCTC